TTTCTTTTAACAGTCAGGCTCCACTTCTGCAGGGCTGCTGTGGTTTCCTGGGCATCCACTCCAGACCTTAATCACCTCGGTCCATCCTGCACCTGGAGGTATCACCAGTGAAGGCTGCAAAACAGCAAAGATGGTTGCCTGCTCTTTTCTCTGGGAGCTCTGTCCCAGAGGGGCACCAACCTGATGCTGGCCTGAACACTCCTGTAAGAGATATCTGGGGACTGCTTTGGGAAGTCTCAACCTGGTCAAGAGGAATAGGATCAGGGACCCCACTTAAAGAGACAGTCTGGCTGCCTCTTGGGGGATTGGGCGAACTGTGCTGGGGAGAACCCTTTTTGTGCAGACTGACCAGACTCTCCAGAATCAGCAGGCAGGGAAGGCTAAGTTGGCTGAACTACATAGACTGTGGTCACCCCTCCCCCAAAGGGCTCTGTCCCAGAGAGATCAGACCTCTGTACATAAAACCCTGGCTGGAGTTGCTGAAATTCTCACAGAGAGGCCCTGCCCAGTGAGGAGGGATGCATCAGGTCCTACTTAAAGATGCAGTCTGGCCATGATCTGCCACAGCAGCTGTGCTGCACCGTGGGGAGGAAGTTATCTTCTATTCTTAGTTTGTTGAGACTTTATCAGAAATGCATGTTGAAATTTGTCAAATTTTTTTCCATATCTTCTGAGATGATCATATAGTTTTCTTTTTTAGTTGGTATATGTGGTAAGTTATTGATCAATTTTTGGATGTTAAACAAATCTTGTATCCCAGAGATAAACCTCACATTGTCATGATGATGCATTTTCTTTTTAGCATTTGGTCATACTCAATTTGTTAAAATTTTGTTTAAAATTTTGAATCTATGTTCATGAGATATTATTAGCCTATAGTTTTCTTTTCTTCTTCTAATGTCTGTTCAATTTTGATATCAGGGTAATGCTGTCCTCATAGAATTAGTTGGGAATTACTTTCTTATTTGCAATTTTTTAGAAGAGTTTAAGTTGAACTTGTAATTTTCTAAAGCACAGCTTAGCTGGGTGCCTGTGGCTCAGGTTCTTACATAAGAATACAGTCAAGGTGTCACCTGCTTCAAAGTTCACTGACATGGCTGTTAGTAAGCCCCAGGCACTTGCTGGAAACATCAGTTCCTTGTCAATGTGGGCCTCCTTACAGGGCAGCTCATAACACAACAGCTAGTCTCCCGCAGAGTGAGTTTGTGAGACAATGAGAGAGATCCAAGGCGGAAGCCGCAGTTTTTGTGACCTAATGCTTAAAGTGACATCTCATTAATAAGGAAGTCAATACGTTCAACCCATACTCAGGGAGAGAGAATTTCAAAGGAGTATGACTACAAGGAGGTAGGAAGCACTGAAGAACATCTTAGAGGCTGCCTACCATAGTTGTTTACAACATCACCTTATTATCCCTCATATCTGTAGAAGCTATAGTGATGTCACCTGTCCCATTCCTTATTTGGGTAATTGTATCTTTCTCTTTTTTTTTTTCTGATCACTTTGGCTAGAGGTTGATTAGTTTTACTCATCTTCATAGTCAGCTTTTAGTTTTACTGACTTTTTTCCTATTGTTTTTCTGTTTTCTATTTTATTTTCTACTCTGATCTTTATTATTTCCTTTCTTCTACTTACTTTGGGTCTCCTTTGTTTTCTTTTCTGTTTGTAAGGTAGAAGCTGAGATCATGGATTTGAGACCTTTATTCTGTTCCAGTATGGAATTTAGTGCTCTATAATTTCCCCCTAAGTACTGCTTTAGTGGCATCCAATAAATCTTAGATTGCATTTTCATTTTAATCCTGCTAAATATTTTCTAGTTTTCCTTTTCTTTTTTGACCATCATGTTAAAGTGTTCTATTTAGTTTCTAAATATTTCAGGATATTTCCAGAGATCTTTCTGTTATTGATTTCCATTTTAATTCTATTGTCAGAAAACATACTTTATAAGACTTAAAACCTTTAAAAGTTATTTTTTTTCTTTTTTTGAGACAGAGTCTTGCTCTGTCGCCCAGGCTGGAGTGCAATGGCATAATCTCGGCTCACTACAACCTCTGGCACCAGGGTTCTCCTGTCTCAGCCTCCCAAGTAGCTGAGATTACAGGTGCATGCCACCACACCTATCTAATTTTTGTAGTTTTAGTAGAGACGGGTTTTCGCCATGTTGGCCAGGTTGGTCTCAAACTACTGACCTCAGGTGATCTACCTACCTCAGTGTCCCAAAGTGCTGGGATTACAGTTGTGAGCCACCCTACACCCGGCTTGAATCCTTTTAAGTTTAATGAGACTTTTTCTATGGTCCAGAATATGATATATCTTGGTAAATGTTCCATTTGTACTTGAAAAGCATATGTATTCTGCTGTTGTTGGGTGAAAGGTAATATAAATGTCAATTGGGTCAAGCTGGTTGATAGTGTTCAAGTTTTCTTTATCTTTACTGGTTTTTGTTGTAGACTACATTTGAAATTTTTATCAAAAATTCAGTATCTGCAACTGGATTTAAACATTATTGTATTATTTTTATTGTGTTAAAATATTTTTCTTCCTCTTTCTTGCACATATACACACATGCACACACACGCACACACACACACATGCACACACACACACACACACAGTCACAAATTTAGAGACCACAGAATTGTAATGATATAAAGCATCTGATTGCGATGCTGTGTCTTTTAACAAGTGTTATTGTTCAATAAAACACTTTTGAAACTAGGTTATCTTTCCTTGTCTGACCTTGCAAGCCACTTAATTGCAAAATGTGTTTCTATTCACAGTGCCTCTTAATATTTTATTCTTTATGGCAACTCATGCTCCCACTGCAAACAAAACAGGCAGGAAAATCTTTAATATACTGAAAGAAATAGAGGGGTTTCTAGAATAATGCTGTTTACAGGTGTTCCTGTTTTAACAGGATATATAAATGCTTGATAAACCTTATATTCTGCAAAATTATATGTAAAAATAATCGGTCATGGGGAAAATAGGATGGGGTCATAACACTCAAAACAGTTAACTTTATAACAGGAATATTAATAAAATATTAATTCTTCCAACTAAAACACTACCACCCAGTAAATGTCCACTATCATTTGTACTCAGGATCAAAGTCAACTTCTACAGGTCCTCAGGGGCATTCACCTCCAATAGACAACATTGTCAAAAAATTAAAAATCTGCTCTGGATATGTGATTTCTGAAACAATCAACTGAAGTTTTAAAACATATGACAAATGTCTTCTCCACTTCTTCATCTACTCCTACAGCCGCATGTTGTAGAGAAGACACAAGTTCTTGAAGCCATTAAGCCAAGCACTACTTGCCCTAAGGGAAGGAACTGCCAAGCTTAGGGCCTCCGTTATTAGCTGTGAGAAAGCTTGCCCCTGAATGTTTAAACTATTGACGTGTTGGGAGAAAAGTAACTTATGAAACAATGACATAATTTTCTTATTATTACCACCTGAGTAATACCAATTGAGTACTACTTTGCATTATAGAAATGTGTTACAGCTTAAAAGACTACTCCATAGTTCTCTAACCTTGAAATACATGATTTTCCCAGTCATTTTCTTGGCAGCAGCCACCAATGGAATTTAAATCTCTTTCCTCCCAGGATCACTGAATGCATATTTACTGAGCACCTATTATATCCCAGAGTCTGTTCTAAATGCTGGAGACACAGTGGTGAGCACAACAGGACAGGCAAAGTCCATGTGTTCGCAGACTTCCATTCTGGCAGGGGGTACCAGCAATCAACAAACAGGTAAATCAATAAATATGGTAACACCAGACTATGCTTGCTATCAGGAAAATAAAACAGGGTGATAGGATATAGAATGAGATGAGGGCGTGACCACGGGTAGAGATGATACTATGGATAGGATGATCAGGGAAGGTGTCTCTGAAGAGGTGACATTGGAGCCAAGACCTATAAGATGAGAAGGAACTAGTCATGGGAAGATCTGAGGAGGACTTCCAGGCAGAGGGAACAGTAGAGGAACAGTAAGTACAAAAGCCTTGAGGTGGAAGTAAGCATAGGGTGCTTGAGGGAAAGAATGAAAAGTGGCTGAGGCAGTCTCTGGGGTATATTCTAGTTGGAGTGCCACGTATCACCACCATTTTGCAGTTGACCCAACAACCAAGTCACTGCTGCTTAACAATTCCACGTCCTCCATGCCTAACATGGCAAAACTGCAAACCAAAATGCAACTGACCGATTCTCATCTGAGTGTCAAATCCACAGGCAATGGAGCATGACACACTTCATCACCACACAGGGTAAGGCTGGAGTGGGCCTGGATGAGTTCGGCTGGTTTGAGGAATTTTTAAATTTCTGATTGTGGGTTCCATCCAGAAGTCAGCTGTGGACTAAGGAGAGGGCTGGAGCAGGGTTTTGCAGGAGGTACCCTGGGACAGCTGTGGTAGGACAAGGGTATAGTGGTAGGATGGGAGAGATGAGATGGGCCCTGAGGAAGGATGAAATTGCATCCAAGGCAAGATGCTGTAAGTACCTTCAGAAAAAAGCCACCTTTTTGCTTCTTTTGCTAATCCTGGGAGCCATACTCACCTTGATGAGCCAGTGACTTTCCAGTCAGCCAGAATTATCTAGCAAATAACTAGGAAGTAGTGCTTCACTGCTTTTGCAGAAACCCTAACTCACCCACACCGGTTCCGCTGTGCTTTCCTCAAGCTTTTGTGTTCCTTTGGAATCCTCTGCATGGTCTTCATTTTAAATATAAATACCTCACCTTCTTGGAGGGATTGTATCTCCATTATAGAGAAGACTCTTCATTCTCTTCTTTGGATACCCTTGCAGTAGTTAGCACAATACTGACCTAGATCTTGCTCCTTCTCAATAGGTGGGCTATTTCAGAGGTAACTTCTCATGTGCCTTAGTGCTGTAGTGGGAGGCCAGCTAGTGGCTTCTGCTGCCAAAAGATACTAACATTCTGGGTTTCATGATTCAGGCTATGTGCAATGAGAAACTGGGCTGCTTACCTGTTTTTCCTGCAGCGAATTGTAAAGGCAAGAAAGAAAAGTATCAGCAGAAGTCCACAGCTGAGAAAAGTCCAAACAATACCCAAGAGGACAGGAGATAATGAAGAGATGGTCTTACTGCTGTGGTGGGAAGATGTCTGAGGACAGAAAAAGGAGAGGCTGTAAGGAATGAAAGATCTTCTATAGGTAAAAAACAAACTGCCCCATCATCACTAATGCTGGGAAATATGTATCCTGCATGAGCAGTTTCTCTTCCCCCTCCTCCCCTTCCTCATTCTCCTTTCCCTCTGCCTCCTCCTCCCCAGCAGCACCAGTGGTACCCTGCGGCTGCTCACTTACAACTGTTGTCTTGCAGAGCTCATGAAGGGGTCTCCGATCTAGCTCCTGGCCAGAAAAGCTGTCACACAATTCAGAGCAGTTTATTTCAGGCTCCATGTCACTACATGCCCCTGTTGGTGTGTGTTTATTCAGTCTTGGTTACCCACTGGTAAGGGATGCAGATCTCTGACTAAAACACAAGAGGAACTCCAATCTTTTCTTCAGAGGCCCCATTTTGGAGCTGGCTCCAGACTCAGAATCCGGAGTGAAAACCCATTCAGGTAGAAGCAAAGGGTTATTTCACCAGGCTCCTTCATCAGACAATCTTCAGCTGGTCACCCTTCAAAATCAGACATCCTTCAACTGGTCCGCTGCTGCCACCACATGCCATGGGAGTCAAGAGTGGACAGCTTAACCGTCAGGCTACACAAGGTGATAATTCTAGTTAACCACCAGATGGCAGTCACTGCTCCGAGTAACCTCACTGGTTCCTGAAGAAAGAAAAGCAATTAAACCTGTTAAATAAATGTGCACACGTGCGGGCACACACACATGTAAATGGTTTATTACAGAGGTTTTAAAATAACATCTATTTTAATTAGCTATATTTTATTACACTCTTTTATATATTACAAAGGTATTAAATATATTTAAATAAACATTTTAAGCCATTATAATAAACAATATTTTTAAAAACAAAGATAAAACATATCTAACATTTTCTAGGGATAAAGCTCTGCAGTATCTCTTCATATCCTTTTTATGGCCCAGTACTGGAAAGACCTTAGCTTAGACTTGTGAGGCACATCTTCCTTTTTTTCCATACTGGAAACCCCCCTGCCCTCACAAGATCTTTCTGTGCAGCTCATGGATTAAGTTCTATCTGATCCTGGATGGTGCTGGGCTCAGGTGCCCCATGCTGTCTCCACACATGATCTGTTGGTCACTCTAGCTCTTGTTCTCTCAGTGAGAAACATTCTATGTCCAGTCAGCTGGGGTCACAGAAAGGTACCCAAGCTGTCTGCAAGAGTCTTTGTATTTAAACTGTGAGACTAACAGGAGTGAGACAGACTACTCAGGCAATAGGGAAAGAAACTGGGGAGCTCTAGGAACTCCCGCAGAGTGCATGACTGGCCAGAGGATGGTGTTATTTCTCTCAGAAAATCCTTGCAATATGAATAATGTGCTCTAAAGAGAAGCTCAGTCTTGTGGAACAAAGATAGAAAGGCAAAAAAGTTCAAATTAGCACCAGTAGAAAAGACAGCCAGATCCCTAATTCTTTAAAGCAATCAATCCTTTAATAAAGAAAATAGATTTGAAATTTTACCAATGGTAATCTAAAAGAGGCTACCACTTCTGCTTTGTGTTTTTAAACAGCTTAGCACAGTTTTCTTTGATTGTGGAGGAAAATTGGACTAGGCAAAAATATCAATTACTATTATTTCAATAGCCACTGAACATAAGGCCCATGTTTAAGCCAGAACAACAGTGACAGGTGGAGAGCGCCATCTTTGGAGTCTGTGTGCTTAGGCATGAACAATATAGCACCAGGTGCTGGCCATTCATTGGCCTCTCATTTGTTCCTGAATTATTTACCAGGTTTATTATAATGAAATCCCAAGAGAACTACCATCTCCCATCAAGGCATTTAAATTCTTGCGTAGTCTGGTCAGATTACTGAATGCAAAATTAAGAAGCAAATATAAAAACTTATTTACATTCTAATTTAATTGAGATTTTAATGGCTAGAAAGGTACTTTTTCTTTTCTTTCTTTTTTGAAAGTTAGACATTTCCTATTGTGTCTTCTAGCATAGAGCCATATTGCAAACCACAGGGAGGACTATTATGACATAATGGATTGAAAGAAAATGTATTTTTCCTATATTGCCCTTTTAATCATAGTGGCAAATAAGTACACTTACATTTGAACAGTTATTCATTCCATGTTTATATATTATTATATCATTTGGAAGAAGTGTGTATGTATATGTATGGGTGTGTTTATATAAAACCTCATTTTGTCCTCACTACAGTGTTTTGTGATGTAAACATCACCATTCCTCATTTTCAAATAAGTAAACTGAAGAGCAGAGAAGAGGAAAACCCTGCTCCAAATCTGCAGAGGCAAGAATCCCAGGAGTTTACATTCCAAGGTCAATGTCATCCTGATCTATATACTCCACATGGGCAGACACTCTGAACTAACCTCTTCCAAGAAGATACCAATGGGCCTCCTGGGTTTCTTCAGCTTTAGTTCCCAGAGCTGCATTTCTGTGGGCTTCCTAGAGCATGGCATGCCATAGTGCCTCCATACCAGTAGTTCTCAACTATGCCATTTTGTACCTTTAGGGAACATTTGGCAATTCTGGAGACATCTGTGGTTGTCAAAATAGAGAGAAGGGTGCTATTCAAATCTAGTACATAGATTCCAAGGATGCTACTAAACATACTGTAATTCACAGGATGGTCCGAACAACAAAGAATTATCTGGCCCCACATGTCAATAGTGCTAAGGTTGAGAAACCCTGATCAACACTGTGGATCCCAGATGGGCTGACAAACTTAAACCTAAATTATCTTTGAGGGATTCTGTGAATATGATGAGGTTGTCCACTGAGCCTAAGTCCTGTGGAGCCTAAGGATGCAACTCTGACTTGGGATAAATTTCTGAGCACATTCTAGAGGTATCCTTGGATAAGCTAAACTCACTGGTGTGGAACTCTAAATGCTAGACCCCTCTTCAGTCCATGGTTATCCAGTGTAGAAACTTTATATATCATGATTTTGGGCTCCCACATGGGACAGGCATTAAACTCCAAACCTGGCAAACATTCACAGAGATTCACACATGGTGAGCTGATGAAACAGTGAAAGGCTCAGTCATTGAAAGGAAAAAGTTGAATCGTTTCAAAAAGTTTTAGTGATTGGGAAAGTGGGTGGGGAATTATCAGAGAAGGTAATGGTGAGGCCATCTGACCACAAGATATATACAGAATTCAAAGCACATGGGGAAAGGTCTTCCAGGCCCCGCCAAAAGCTACCTTACCCCTGTACCCTCTCAACAAAGTCTCTAGGGAGAAACTGTTTACGTCACAGACAGTAATAGACCCAAGGCCATGCAGGGTAGTGTTTGAAATTTATTTGACAGAGATTATAGAATCCTTACCAGTGATTAGGATCAGAAAAACAGACATTATTCCCAAGTGCAAAATGGTCATTTGCAAGTTCACCCCTCTATATAGGCCCATGTCTTTGTTACAAAATCTCTATTCTTCTACACATTATTTATGACCTTTAAAATAACACTCATACAAATACTATCTTTTAACAAGTTGATTTGCAGTTGGTAGAACTTTTGCTTCTGTATGGGAAGAATTAACTGCTATGGGAATTGCTTTTTTCTGTTAACAATTTGAACACTACATAAAACATATGAAACAACTATTTTCAGGCATTGTACGACAGATGCCACGAGACTGGGGTATCTTCCTAAGAGATACTACCTGGAGGTCATTTCCAGGTCACAGCACATGGAGGGAAAACCAATCAGAACCTAGAATTCCATTTGAGGTAAGGGGAATGGATTGGTATTTGAAGATGTTGAGGTGGCTAAAATTTGCAGGGCAGAGTAATGAAGAAGAGGGAGATACAGAGAATAAGGAGAACACTTGGGAAATCTGCAGAGAATCCCCTCAGTGTTTTCCTGAGTACTGATTTGGATATGAGTAGGAAGAAACTACTTGAAGTTGAAGAAGAAAAAAACACTGATAGGCAATAGCTGAGTAATTCCTGGAGCTCACACAGGGCTGAGACTACCCTGTGTTCCCATCAGCCAGTATGGAGAGGCCCCATAATATGCAGGACATTGGATAAAATCCTCAGGAAAGCCACATCTTAGTAGTAAAAATAAATTAACCCTAGACTAGAGGTTACTCTGGATAGACCCTAAAGGAAAGTCTCAAATGGATAAAAGTGATCCGTAAAAACTTAACTGCATTCCAGAACACAATTCAATGCTCTTAAAGGAATATAACAAGATCCAGTGCTCGACAATGTAAAATTCAAAATAATTACCAGGCATTCAAAGAAATGAAAAAATATGACCTATAACCATAAAGTTTTAAAAAACAGATCAACAATATCAGACATAGAAATAACAGAAGTGATACAACCATCACACAAGAACCTTGAAAAAACTGTTATAAATATGCTTTAAGATATAAAGCAAAACATGATCAAAATGAAGAGAGAAGTGAAAGATAAAAAGCAGACCCAAATGGAACTTCTAGAGATAACAATATAATATCTGAAATAAAAATACAATAGATTAGACATTGCAAAAAGAAACTGGTTAACTTAAAAACATAGCAATAGAAATTATCCAAAAATCTGACCTCATTTAAAATTGCTTCACAGCTTCACACTCCCTCTGGCTTTTGTAAATGATTTTCTGATCTTCCTTTTCCTCCATGTCCTCAACATCCTTTTTTTTTGAGACAGAGTCTCTCTCTGTTGCCCAGGCTGGGGTGCAGTGGCATGATCTTGGCTCACTGCAACCTCCACCTCCTAGCTTCAAGTGATTCCCCTACCTCAGCATCCCCAGTAGCTGGGATTACAGGCACCTGCTACCATGCCCAGCTAATTTTTGTATTGTTAGTACAGATGGGGTTTCACCATGTTGTCCAGGCTGGTCTCAAACTCCTAACCTCAAATGATCTGCCCACCTCGGCCTCCAAAAGTGCTGGGATTATAGGCATGAGCCACCATGCCCAGACTGTCTTCAACACCTTTTAATGTATTACTTAATTTATTTATCTATTGGTGTCCATTGATTATTGTTTGACTTCCCCCATTAGAACACAAATTCTATAAAAGTAAGGATCTTAATTTTGTATACTAGTGTATTCTAGGTGCCCAGAGAAAAATGATTAATAAGAATGACATGTGGTGGCAGATCAAGATGGCAAAATAGAAGGCTCCACTGATCATTTCTCTTGCAAGGACACCAAGTGAACAGCTATCTACACGGGGGAAAAAAAAACCTTCATAAGAACCAGAAATCAGAGTAGAAAGGAAGACTGGACCAAACTCAGCTGACATGTGCAAATGGAGGGAGCATTTTTTTTTTTTTTTTAGATGGAGTTTCGCTCTTGTTACCCAGGCTGGAGTGCAATGGCATGATCTCAGCTCACTGCAACCTCCACCTCCTGGGTTCAGGCAATTCTCCTGCCTCAGCCTCCTAAGTAGCTGGGATTACAGGTACGCGCCACTATGCCCAGCTAATTTTTGGTATTTTTAGTAGAGACGGGGTTTCACCATGTTGACCAGGATGGTCTTGATCTCTTGACCTCATGATCCACCCGCCTCAGCCTCCCAAAGTGCTGGGATTACAGGCTTGAGCCACCATGCCTGGCCTGGAGGGATCATTTAAAGTAGCTCTAGCTAGAGAGGAATTGCCAGTCCCAGTGGTCTGAACTTGAATGCCTGCAAACCTCACCAGTGAGGGCTACAATGCTCTTTGTCTTCTAGTAAACTTTAGAAGCAGTCTAGGCAATAATGACTGCAACTGTTAGGTGGGTCCTCGTGCTGAACTAGGCCTAGAGACAGAGGACTGGGAGTGCATGTAACCTACTGAGACACCAGCTGGGGCAGCCAAGAGAGTGCTGGCATCATCCCTCCCCTTGCTCCAGGCTACACAGCTTATAGCTCCAAAAGAGACCCCTTCTATCCATTTGAGAATAGGAGAGGGAGAAGTAGGAAGAACTTTGTCTTACAACTAGGATAATAGCTCAGTCACAGCAGGATAGGGCACTGGTCAGAGTTATGAGGCTCCCATTCCAGGTCCTAGCTCCAAGGTGATATTTCTAGACACACCCTGGGCCAGAGAGAACCCAATGCATTGAAGGAAAGGACCTGGCCCTGCCAGCATTTATTGCCTGCTAAGTGAAGAGCCCTTGGGCCCTGAATAACCAGCAACAATAACCAGGGACTATGTTGAGGGTCTTGGGTGAGCCTCTGAGACTTGCTGGCTTCAGGTGGGACTCAGTACATTACCAGCTGTGGTGACTGCAGGGCAAAACTTCTTCTGCTTGACAAAAGCAGAAGGAAAAGTAAAAGGGCCTTTGTCTTGCACCTTAGGTACCAGCACAATACAGGGGGTTAGAATACCAAGAGTGCTTTGGAGACCCTGATTAAGGACTTGATCCTTGGGCAGCATTTCTGGACCTGCCCTGGGTCAGAGGGGACCCCACTGCCCTGAAGGGTGAGTCTCAGGCCAGGCAGCATTCACGACAAGCTGACTTATGAGACCTTGGGCCTTACGGGAACATCAGCAGTAATCTGGCAGTCCTCCTCATGGCCTGGGTTGTCAGTGGCTATAGGATGAGGTTCCTCTGTCTTTGGAAAGGGAAGGGAAGAGTGGGAAGGACTGTGTCTTGTGGTCTGAGGGCCAGCTCAGCCACAATATAATAGAATACCAGGAAGACTTCTAAGGATTTTGACTCTAGTCCTTGCCTCCTGGACCTAGCTGGGACATGGGGGAAGGACAAAGCTTTTCCTCTAAAATCTGAAACACTACAAGGAAGTCCACTGCCATCACTGTTGTTCAACAAACTACTAGAAGTCCTAGATAGAGCAATTAGATAAGAGAAAGATATAAAAAGTATCCAACTGGAAAGGAATAACTCAAATTATCATTGTTTGCAGATGATGTGATCTTATATTTGGAAAAACCTGAAGACTCCACAAGAAAACAATTAGAAATGGTAAATTGAGTAAAACTTCAGGGTACAAAATAAACATATATTTACCTAAATAAAAATCAATCATTCTATTATAAAGACACATGCACATGTATATTCATTGCAGCACTAGTCACAATAACAAAGACATAGAATCAACCTAAATGCCCATCAATGGCAGACTGGATAAAGATAAAAAAATTAAGTTCTTGTGGTACACAAGAACTTCACAATGCAATCACAAGTATCCATAGAATAGACCAACAGTGGAAAGAATTTCAGAGCTTGAACACTATCTTTCTGCAATAAGAAAGGCAGAAAAGAATACAGGGGGGGGAAAAAAGGAATGAACAAAACCTCAGAGAAATATGAGATTATGTAGAGACCAGACCTACAGGTTGACTGGGGTATCTGAAAGAGAGGGGCAGAATGGAACCAAGTTGAAAAACATACATCAGGATAGCATCCATGAGAACTTCTCCAATCTAGCAAGACAGGCCAAAATTCAAAATCAGGAAATGCAGAGAAGCCCAGTAAGATACTCTACAAGAAGATCAACCCCAAGACACATAATCATCAGATTCTCTAAGGTTAAAAGGAAAAAAAAAAATCCTAAGGGCAGCCAGAGAGAAAGT